CAAGTCTAGGGACAAAAGGGTTTGACCCTATCAAAACCTATTTAGTAATTTACGAGCGGAAAGGAAGTGGTAGGACAAGAGAACAAAACAGGGATAGCGATATTGATGTTTCCTCCTGCTACACTAGAAGTCATCAAACACAGATGATAATGAATCATTAAAACATTTTGCTTAGTTCTGCAATCATAAAAGAATCAGATTGGTTTAAACCTAACTCAGCACTTTCTTAAAGAAAAACAGGAGTAATTCCTCATGACTTTTAATGAGAAGCTAAGTGGAAAGACTCAATTCTCAGTTCATGTATCACAGCAAAATCCAGAAATTAATTAAAATTTGCTCATATAAGAACAGGTAGTTTTATTACATTTTGAGCAACACTCAATCTGGAATTTAAAGTCACACCAGTCCAGACACCTAGCTTCCAGGCCCCAAATGCCCAGCATTTGCTGACACAAAGCAGCTGCACTCCTTTCTGGACCACAGATGACTCCAGAAGTTGCACAGCCACAAGGATGCTCTGCAGGCATTGCACCCATCAGCACCAAATGGTGCTGTGTCTTAAATTTGTGACTAAAACAATGCTGACAACACACCAATGTTTTAGCTATTGCTGAACAGTGCTTGTACAGCGTGAAGACTTTCTCTGTTTCTCACTCTGCCCCCACAATGAGTAGGTTGAGGGTGGGCAAGAGGTTGGAGGGGACAGCTGACGTAAATTAACCAAAAAGATATTCCATGCCACGTAGCATCACGCTCAGCAACACAAACTCGGCGTTAGTCCTTCCAAGGCAGCCTATGCTCAGAGACTGACTGAGCATCAATCTGCTTGTGGGAGGTGGTGAATGTTTGCCTTTGCATCACCTGGTTGGTGGTTTGCTTGGTTGTTTTGGGTTGGCTTGGTTTTGTGTCTTTTTTTTTCTTTTTTTTTTTTTTTTAATCTCAACCCACAAAGCTTTTTCTTGCTTTTGCTATTCCAGTTCTCTCTCCCACCTGCTGCAGGAGGAAGCAAGCAAGTGGCTGGTGGGTGCTTGATTGCTGGCTATGGTCAACCCACCATATAGATATACCATCCTCATCATCCTAATCTACACAGGTAACTGAAAATCAGCATTTCCTTAGCCAATTCTGATAGCTTCATCTGGTATTCAGGTAAATATTGCTATATTTCTTGCTAAATATTCCAAAACAGGAGTTTCACCTTTTTGACAGCTGCATATGAATATGCCAAGGTAGTATTTTTCAACTGTTAGTTTTTATATGATTTGGATGTCAGAACTTAACATCACAGAGTCAGAACTTAAACACAGGTTATTTAACTGTATAGATTACTGGGGGAAAGGCATAGACTTATTTCAAGTATAGGGAGGAACTCATGTAGAATTAAAGAACACCAGTGTAGTCTATCTTCATTGAGAACCAACATACTCTTCCCACAGTCAGACTTTGTTACTGTAGAACACTGAGATGACCAAAGAAAACTATCACCGTTAAAGCCTAAAGATTCTCTTCCAAAGCAAGTTTCAGCAGCTGTCCCTGCTGTATGTTTTGAAAAGGAATTACCACCTTCTGCTATTTGCAAACGATCAGACAGCCGTGCAAGTAAAAAAACTGGTTATTTCATGTTGCTGCTACTCAAAAGGCAACAAGCAGTACTGAACCAAATACAGAGGAACTTCACTATGGGGAAGGAAAATTTAGGGCAAGAAAAGACAACAGAGTGCAAGAAGGATTCTGAGGACTCTGTTACTCTTTCTTGTACACCTGAAGTAACAACAGAAATAGTGAAGTGCTGACTACCAACTTATGGTAACAACTAAAAATTAGCAGAAAGAACCAGTGACAAAGTCTCAACTTTTCACCTAAGTTTTCATTTAGGGCCTGTAGAAAACCCTTGTTCACTACAGTAGCTAATAAAATAGCCTCAAGCACCCAAAATATTATACTAGTTCTATAACAAATACATCTTCAAACATTGTCTTTTCACTGGCTATCTAACTGAACATTAAAAGCCTGGTATTTATTTCAATTCAAGTTTAATAGCAACTGTTCATTGCTAAATTCTAATTAAAACAAAAGTTGAGTAAGATTTTTTTTTCAAAATAACATCCTTACAATATGAGGTTACCATATTTTAAAAACTTTTCTCAAAGGAAAATAACATTGTGCCTTCCAAAACACTTGGGCATTTCAAGGCTTTTTCGTTTCAATTTTCAGGCACTTCCTCCCAAGCTCCAAAAGTTTTTAAAATTAGCATCCTCTATTACATTAATATTTTAAAGAATGCATAGACTATTTTATGCCAAGTCAAGTAGTAAAACTAAAAGCAAAGGTAACAGTTTGAGATAGCATTACTAAGAAAGTATTGGTAAGATATCCAATCTTAAATCTGAGAAATATATTCATAAAAGGACATAAGAAAACATATACCAATATAAATAGAATACAATAAATGTTCCCTTGCGTGTTTTCTCTGTGCTACCTTAGCTGCCCTGGAAATGGCTCTCTCACGTCTCAGAGAGACCCTAAGGGAACAGAGTAAACAGAACTGCCCCTCAGCCAGTGGCTCTTAAAGGAATGTTGGCACCGGTGCACAGCAGACTGCAGAAAATTCTCATGGCCTACAACTCTTAACATTCAAACGCCGTGATTCAGGTTTCCTATAACTCCAGTGGCCACACTGGGAACTCCGAGGCCACACACAGGAATAATTGCTTTTACCTTCCTTTTTAGGTTTGAAGCTATGTCAAGAGAACCTGTGTGTGTTATTAGTGTGCTAACACCAATTAGGTGTTGAGAGCTGCTTCTCCTTTTCTCTCTTTAGAACCCTTTTCTAATGCATTCGTCTTGCTTCATATATATTCAAGGTCTTAGCCTGAAATTTTCAAAAAGGAGACAGCCAAGGACCTGCTGCACCTCTGTAAAAGGATTTGCTACACAGTTACTGCTAAGCAGCTGGAGCAAGAATAATGAAGCAGCAAAACCCCAAATCACAGAAGATTCATTCCTTTTAGGCTTCTTGAGAATCATACCCTATACTTCAGCCACCACAAAGGAGAATCACAGAGCAGCTAATGTCAGAAAGGACCTCTGGAGGTCATCTTGCCCAAACCCTCTGCTCAAGCATCCACAACCTGTTGCCCAGGACTGAGTACAGATGGGTTTTGAATATTTCTACGGAAAGAGACTGCACAACTTCTTTGTGTAACCAATGTCAGTGCTTAGTCACCCTCACAGTAAACAAGCATTCACTTGCAGAATTGTTTAGGCTGGAAAAGACCTTTAAGATCAAGTCCAACCAACTTATGCTCAGGCAGAACCTCCTGTGTTTCAGCTTGTGCCTATTGGAGAGGTCAATTTGAACTGTTCAACTACGTGTTTGGAAAAAAAAAAAAAAGATAGAGAGAATCATCAAGGTAATTTTGGGATAACAGTACGAATGCAAAAAAAAATCTTCTTAGAACAGCAGCCACTGAGGTCAAGATATTGTTTTGATTATTTCTGCCTAGAGTTCATCTTTTCACCTAAAATATTTAATTCTCCTAGAACAAAGAACTTGTTCTAATAGTTGATACGTATGACGGTTAAAGAAGTCTAAGGAATCTGCACAAGAAAACATTACTGATTCACCTTTATTTTCTTCCAACAAAGCTGTATTACCACAAACATACAAACTGTACAACAACAGAGCAACACTTCTGCTCCGTGACAGACTTTAGTCTACCAGGGTTGCAAGAATTCTGATGGTTACACTAAAAAGGAACAAAATCTAAAAAAATACAATTTCCTAAGCAAAAATTTTGAAATTCATTTTTCTAAACAGGTATTTTCTAAGTAAGATTCCCTCTGCTAAAAGTGAAGCCTATGGAATTCACAGCCAGTTTTCAAATCTGTCACCTGTACCCAAATGGGACAAACAGCCAAATGTAAATTCTCCAGATTCAGGCTGTCATGCTCAGACAGACCTTCTTCATTCATGACGTTCTTTTAGCCACATATAAGCGTTGAAAAACAATGTGATGCTTGCCAAACTGATTTTACTGTTTTCACAAACTGCAAGGACCAAATACTCCAGAACCCGCAGTATTTGCCCATACAGGGCAAAGTCCCTGCAAGTCTCTGAATCCCTGTGCTAGCTCTATACCTTATAATTCTAAACTGCTCTCTGCAATCAAACTACCTCTATGAAGCAACTTCATTAATAAATTAGCAAAATTTAAAAAATATATATATATTAAAAGACCAGAAAAATACAAGATATGATCAAACTCTCAGCAAGACTTGTCAGTCAGACTTCTTACCATAGGAAGAGTCTAAGATCAAGATCAACTACAAGCACAAGGGATAAAGCTACTACGGACTTTTTCTGGACAGCTTGTCTCAGTCTTCATCTTTTTCTCATTCATACATCATGCTGTTGCTACACGCATACGATACATGTGTACCCTTGCGAGAACTACTAGAGAGCGAAGTAGACATTTTAGTTAAAATAAACTTTTTTAAAAATGCTCAGGTTCCAAAACTGCTAACAGCCAAAGCTCTTTGTATCCTTCTTCATAAACTTATTATTTAGTGCTCAAAAGTCAAGATCAACGTCTCCAACAAAAAAAATAAAATATAATAAAAACTTCTGGTAGGAACCTGCGGTCCATTTGGCTTTCCATGCTAGAGAAAATATTTCACTCAACTTCCCAACACTCATGTAACAATATAGCACTTCTTTTTTTTGCCTGCCAGCACATTTCAACTCTACAAAAAGTATTCCACAGAAGGCTCACCTACACATTCTTCTTGAAAGCCAGAGCTCATCTGCAAGCGTTCAGAAAACCAGACATTCTAAATATATACTGAAAATGTTAATTAGTTGATTTTTCATGACTGAAATAACTATGGTATTCTAAAGTTTTATGAAATCTCTCCCCATTCTATCTGGCTAAAGAAAAAAATCTACTACAACATATTTGCACTGAAAGAAAAGCCACTGAAAAGTGTCTCAGATCTACCTGAAAGTATTTTGCAGTTTGTGGGCTTTAATCAGATTCAGACCCCTAGTAACATCAGCAGGAACGAACTACACAAGAGAACCAGAAAATTGACAAAATGCTGTCAGAAAAACCCAATCTCATCAAACCAATCCGGCCCTGAAGTATCTTCTAGCCATCAACAACACTAAAATGCAAGCAAAAATTTAAAAATTAAATCGTGAGACTGACTAATACATGTTTGGGGAAGAAAACCAGATCATTTTTATGCACATACAAAGAAAACGACTACAAAGGTGTTTTTAAAAGCCCCCAAACCAGAAAGACCTCCTTCTTGTAATCAGAGAGATGGAAGGGTTGAATTCTATTTGCACTCCTTTATCATCCTTTATTGGAAGCTCTCATTAATTTGCCCCGGGGGGGGAGGGAGCGGAGAGGAAGCAGTGCGAGGGGCAGGGGAAGAGCGGCGGAAGGACTGCGGACCCTTCCCGTCCCGCCGCCCACCCTCCCTGCTCCTCCGGCCCGCACAGGCTCCGGCCGGCCCGCAGCAACCGCACCGCAGCCGGAGGCGGGCCGGGAAGGAGCGGAAGGCCAGGCCGCCGGCCTGGGCCGAGAAACCCTTGGAGGGGGCAGCAAGCGAAGGCAACGGCCGGCACCGTGACCGGTTCCCCTCGGCGGGCGAGGGGGCCATTACGGCCACCTCTCCCCGAGAGGGAGGGCAGCGGCTCAGCAGGCCGGCGGCGCGGCGCTGCTCGCTGGGCCGGCTCCCCTTAGCCCGTCCGCGGGAGCCGTGTGGGGCGGCGGGCGCTGCCCGCTCGGTATCATTCCGCAGGGCCGGGCCAGGCTCCCTCCCCTCCGCCCTCTTGCCTATACACTCGCACAATAGACCCGGCCTCCCTCCACCCCATATCCGGGGACTATATGCGGGAGCCCGCGGAGGCTTTCTTTTTTTCCGCCATCTCGCAGCGCGCCGCGCTTCCACACACACCACCCCCCTTTCCTTCCTTCCTTCCTTCCTTCCCCGGGGCTCCTCACCGCGCTGCCCCGGCCGCCCCGCTTTACCTGACGCGGCGCCGGCCCTGCGCGTCTCCCCGCTGGCTTTGGGAGGCCGCCCCCTCGGCATGGCCGCCCCCTCCCTCCCCTAACCCCCC